TATATATATATATATATATATATATATATATATATATATATATATATATATATATATATAGTAGACACTTATGGTTATGGGTCCTCTTAGCTATCATTGTTGACTTCTCTTGGAAATGATAGGATCATTTGCTGAAGAGGATGTTGGAACACATGGAATAAATATGCCCTCACCAATGGGTGCTGCAAATGCTAGCAGAGGTCTTGAAGTTGCAGTTGCAAATCTTCGAGACTATTGTAATGGTGGGTTTTGGAAGCACAGACTAAGCTGCAGTTTTCAAGTCATCATGTTACTTTGATTTTCTTTTTTGGCTTTTCATATATAATCTTTAACTTTGTCTTTTGTTTTAGAGTTGGAGAATAGATTGTTGTCACGGTTTGATGCAGCATCACAGAGACGAGAATTATCTACAATGGCAGAATGTGCCAAAATTTTATCTCAGGTATGTAGCTATTGCCGATAGGCTGTTTTTGGCTTGATAAAATGTAACACCAGGATAGTGGGTTTGAGTTAGCTTTACATGCATTTGGATCATAATGGGTTCACCCAATAAACCCAATTATTGAATGGTTTGGGTTTAGGTTTAGGGAGTTGACACAAGTGGTGGAAATAACCTAATTATTAATAACATTAAGTGTTTTCAACTGTCATTTTGCATTAAGTCTATCATGTGTCTTTTAAAAATAGGTAAAGTAATGGAAATACAGGGTTGATTAGATTGTACATGTCGATTTTAAGTTTCGTAAGTAGGTCAAATGTTACTGAGAACAAATCTTACCATGCTTGATTTGATTTGATTCCTTACTAAATGGTTAATTATGTTCGGTAAAGTTTTGCTTACATTAGTTTGGTTAGATTTGGGTTTAATTTTTTGACATATTAATCATATTGTTTGGGTTTGAGTTGAAAGTTCTCTTTTAATATATGCATCCCAAGATGACACAAGCAGGAATATACTCAACCCATTGACACCACTAGCATAGACCATCAGAAGAGCATTTTCTGGTCAGTTTGAAATCTGAAAAATTATTGTTTATGATTTGGTTTGATTTTTAAAGAAATTTTTGAGACCATTTCCAATTTGCATACTGCAATTATTTTATCTTTACTATTATATTTTATTATTCTAAAACTTTAGCTATAAGCATAAGTTAAAATGTTAAATTTAATCTTTTCTTCATAGCCTACATGCATCTTTGTGTAGCTTCACATGGAGAAGATTTGGCATTTTATGAAAATAGAAACTATAACTTGAGTTGTGCCACCTTCAAGTTAGGTAATAGAAATAGCGTATAAATCAGTTTTAGAAACTGAACCAACCTTAATGATTTAGTTTGAATTGGTTTTGCTCCAGTTAAATGATTTTCTAACCTGAAAAATTTAGTCACATATGACCATTTAGTTTGACATTTCTCATAAAACAGATAAAAGTTAACTTGGTTGTTGGAACTTGGAACCACTCATCACAATAAGAGGAAAAGAAGAGTAGGAAAACTGTGCTGAAGGAGGGTGATGGGAGTGACAAAACTTATTTTCTATGATTCCGTTTTTATGATTGATAATAATCAGTTCTCTATTCTTTAAGATTTAACATGACATGTATTTAATGTTAACTTAATGTTTTAGCTACATTGTTTTGTGGAGCATGCCTATCATGAGCTGATGGGTCAATACCACTTGTTTTGAACCTCCCCTGATTTTCTGGCAAATCAAGCTGTCCTGATCTTGACTTATGTACCTGATGTGCCAATTTAATTAGGTTGTATTAAGTTTGTCTCGGTTTTCCTCATGGGCTCTAGAGATTAGCACTCTTGAATTCATACACTCGAATAAGTAAACTAGCGGAGGGGAAAAAAAAGGAACAATTGGCAATATATAAACTAATGTCACTTAGAAATATGATGTGTACAGTGCTGCTAGTTAGGTCAAACCAGCAGAATCAGAAAATAAACCGAGAAACAAATTGACAGTCTAGAGTTGGTGTTCATGCAATTGTGTCTAAGACAAAATATACTTGTTTGATCACACACCTGAGCATAATGTACCTATCCTTTTTCATTTATTGAAAACAGTTTGATATTTCTTCTTATGTTATGAAGATTCTTGGTTTTCAAATAAAAGAGCACACTTTTACTTTAGGACTTTCCAGAATCAGATCTTATTTGCAAATGGAAAACTATTGTTGAGATTTAAAGTTTAGACGAATAGAACATTCCACTAGAGAATTTAGCACGCATGGATCGGTAATTACTAATATTAGTTAAGTTGATGTTTTTTGTTTTTAGGGTTTGTCATTGGCTGAAATTTCATATATCACAGACTAAGGTTCATTGTACCATAGCATGTCGTCCTACCACACACTTAGCTGGTTTTTCCTAAGTCGTGCAGCATTTTTGCTTGTTCGTTTGCAAAGAGTTTGTTTTTCCGAAATCTCTTATGGTCCTAAAGGACCTGCAAAAAATAAGACGAATTAGAGGAAATATTTAACTTAGGATCCTATAAGCAAATATTTCAGTAAACACTTGATAAACAATGTAAATTACAAACATAGACTGCGCAAGTTCTGAACGGTCGCGTAACAAAGGGTCCAAGGTGGTCTACAACGGTCAAAAGTCCCCACAAGTGCCACATGACACTGTTGTGGAACAAGGCAGCGAACCAGCCCTAGACACTACCCCAAAGTCCCATCTAGTCATATGCCACCCATGTAGCACAAAGGTGTTGTGCTAGCTGACACTCTGCATCACTTTGCGGAGCTAGAAAACCTCCAAAATAACTTTCTGGATGACCTATTTTTGAATAGGTTGCGTGTACAATGACTGTATGAAACCTACGTTTACAGGACTAAAACAATCACAAGAGCAAACCAAAATAGGGTTGTGAAGCTTACTGCAAGCCCTCTACATGCTATGCAAAGCATGAATAAAATCGAAAGACACGAATATTCACAAACATTACATTGAACACCCCTTGTACTGATTCGTTCGTGATAGCCCGATACAGGCGGTATGTACAATAGGGGACTAGTATGGGTGGTATATACCAGTTTTTCGGTACATCCCACCATATCATGTGTCGGTATGTTGGTATGATTTGGTATGTACCATACCGATGGCTGGTTGATACATCGGTACAGACCGATAAGGCAAACCGTGCCACAAACTAACTTTTGATATTATGTACTCATCATGTATCCCATGCTTGTGCTTCTCTATGATGACTTTGATGCTGTTATGTGCTATTGTTTTTTGTTTCATTTTCTTCTATATACGCAAATTTTGCTTTTTTTTTTGCCAATACAATTTTCATTTCTCTTGTTTTTGTTTTCTTTTTTCCTTTTAAATTTTATTTTAACGAACATGTTGCTGTTTCTCTCATCTATATATTGTTTTATATCATATCTTATTTACAGATTTGGACAGAGACTATTGAGGTTGAATTTGTAGCTTAAAGAACACTATTTTACAGATATAAAATTTTAGGACTGTTTGCTAAAGTGATGGCCTTTCTCTTATAAATCTCACATATAACTTCTGCGTTTGTAGTTTAACAGGGGGACTAGTGCCATGCAACGTTATGTAGCATTGAGACCAATGTTTATTGATGTAGAGGTCATGAACACAGATATCAATTTAGTTCTGGGTGATCAGGGTTTACAAGCTGGTGCTAACAACATTGCACGAGGTCTTTCTACTTTATACAAAGAGATAACAGGTTCTAATTGACCTTTTTCCATTAAGTTGTAAGACAAGTTCATAACCTTTTGATGGTCTTATATTCATTTTGATTGTAGAAACTGTGAGAAAAGAGGCAGCAACCATAATGGCTGTCTTTCCATCACCCAATGATGTCATGTCAATTCTTGTGCAGGTATCGCACGGAAGTCTGTGATTCTCATTAATGCTAAACTTGAATATGCAGTTTTGGACTTTTGAGACAACTAATGTATGGCTATTTATGTTGCTCATGTTTCAGCGGGTTTTAGAGCAGAGAGTAAGTGCAATTCTAGATAGATTATTAGAAAAGCCATCCCTTGTGAACTTACCACCTGTCAATCAAGGTGGCCTTCTTCTGGTAAGATGTGCCGATAGTCTGTGCATTTTAATTAGATATTAGAAGCTTTAAGAGGCTCATGCTAGTTTGCATTGGTGTTGAAATTGAATTGCAGTATTTAAGAATATTTGCACTGGCATATGAGAAGACAGAAGATCTTGCTAGGGAGTTACAATCTGTTGGTTGTGGAGACTTGGATGCTGAAGGTATACACAAACACAATAGTTACATATGCTGAGTTTTTCTTGAGTCACCGAATTTCACCTTTCCTCGATGTCACTAGAAGAAGTATCATAAATTCAATGGCTGAATTTTCCATTATCTGAATGAGTTGTTGCTAGCTCTCTCGGTGATTTCTTTTAGTTGCTAGCAAACATTCTTTAAGTTCTATTGCCTACTTGGAGAAATAGAACTTGTCGAAAATGCTGAACCTTTCAAACATAGGCAAGGTTTTCCATGTCATTGCATGGGGGCTCTGCTGTTACCATTGGTTCTATTTCATCAAAATGACCCTGTGCTGGCTATTACAGGCTGGCCGAGCCATATATTCACATCTTCTCACATGTTTATGTGGCATATTTTGGCAATCCTTAATTTTGAGTTAGATTATTTCCTATTTACACATCCAAATAAGATAAAATTTATTGAATCTATTCTCATTAGGAATATTTTTTTTTCTCAAAAGCCATGTAAGTGGATCATTTTGGATCTATATAGTTGCCTTATGCCCTTCTCTCTTTTCTTTAATATTCATATCTTTCTTCACTTGTTTTCCTAACAGCTTTATTCTCTTTTCTGCTGTGGTTAATCTATAAACTGTTATTTTACATAGGCAGTAGAAATGATCATTTTCACATTCTAAACCCCTCTTGGAAAACAAGAACAGTGAAAATATTTTGATGATTTCTTTGTGATTTCATAAATTAGCCATCAATTCATCAGGGTGGGTGGGTTTGAGATGAGCTGAGGTAATAAAACTTTACCCGACTGGTCAAAAGTTGAACCTGACACGACCTTCATACATTGAACCAAGGTATGCAGTTTCAAATAATACCGTCTGTACCAGGCGGTACGTACCAGTCCGTCAGTTGATTGGTACACGGACCGTCTGTTACCGGACGGAATATATTAATATATATATATATATATTAATATATATATAATTTTATATATAAATATTTTTATAAAAGGTGACGTTGCCCCCGCGTG